TAAGAAATTTTTAAGTAGTATAATCTATAAAAGCCTTGACCCCACATTTGGCCCTTATTGTGTAAGGATTATGACTGCCTTGAAGAAAGTTAAGATTTTGGGTTTAAGGTATGTAACAAAGAGGACTAGCTCCCAATTTGGAGTGAGACTGTTTTCCAGAATTTTAATGGAATGGCCAAAAGGGGATTTGATATATCATCTAGAAGAAGTGGTGTGGCCTGTGAAGAAGGGACACCCTCACGAGTCCGGCAGCACCAGGAAGGATTCCAGAGATAGCTCTTAAAACCTGTGCTGTGTTTGGGTACAGTCAAACGCATTCCTGAGCTGGGCTGCTAAACTATATTCCTGGACATTTGGTAGATTTAGTCCCCCGTTGGCATTGGTTTGCTTTGTTAGTAAGGTTTAGGCAGGCTGTAAGTCTTTGTCAGAGAAACTGTTTGATTTTCGTGTTCGAAAGGCTATCCTTCTTTTTTTATTTTTTTATTTAGAGGAATAATGTAGTAAGTGGAGAGGAAATAGTAGCTTTGGGAACATAACTAATTTGTACAGGTTTACCCGACTGATTTATGATAAACGTAGTTTTTGCCAATGGTCTAATTCTGCGAAAATGTAACGTGTGAAATATTTTGTTTGTGTAAGAATGAGAAGTTCCTGGGAATTTTTATCCCAAGTTATTTAAGTGCAGTTTGTTGCCAATCAAAGAGAATTCCATTGGGTAACCTCAAAATAAATTCCCCTCTCAAGTTAAGGGCACATGATTTGGCCAAGTTGATTTTCAGTCCTGCCATGTCGCAGTTTACCTTAGGCAGATCAACAACGGCTAGTAGAGATTGATGTAGATTTGTGGTAAAAATGAAAAGATCATCATCAGCAAAGGCCGAGAACTTCAGGGTGACAACACCCATCGAAATTACCCTAAACCTCTGTAAATATTCTTGTAATAATGGATTAATAGCTAAGTTGAACAAGTGGCGATATGTTTAATACAGTATGCCCATAAGATGATGTCAGGTGATGCTAGCAAAAGCCTTTTCAATATCTATGCTAATAAGGGAGGGGGATGTTAGGTCAGCCTCTTTGCCTGTGGTTTAGGTCACCGCTGCTGTGGCTCTAAAGAGACCTGTCTACGCCCAACAATACCTAGTTGGTGGGTGGTATGTGTTTGGTGTAGGAATATTTGTACTCTCAATGCTATAATCTCTGAGAGGAGTTCAATATCTAGGTAAAGTAGTGATATTAGACTGCTGTATTAGACGTCTCCCAATGCAGTTTTGGGTCATCTGTGTGCTCAAGATCATCGTCTCTAAAGTGAGTTCAGCTGGATTGTAAGTGAGCTTGGAAATACAGGTTGTTAGTGTGATACGGTGGGAATTGAGGTGAATGGATAGGCAGATATTGTGGAAATCATTAGAATGAGAGGTAAATTCAAATGTATGAAAATCTGTAGTGTCTATATTGGAAAATACTACTGGTAAGGTGTGTTGCGCTCATATATGAGGCTGTAGCCATCTCCATGAATGATTTGTGGAATTATTTGTATCTGTCAGGAGTAGGCTTAATCTTGCCACAACTTATGGCTGGCAGGAGCAGTGTTGGAGATTTCCATTTGGGTAAAAGGAACAAAGGTAAAATTAAAATCTAAAAAAACCTATGTATGTACACTGAGTTGAGGTGCTGATTGATTAAATACAGGAGGGCAGTGAGTAAGATGAGAACAGAAGACCCTCCGAATTTAGGGCACTCAGTTGAGGCAAGTCAGTGACCGCTTGCAGTAAGTGATATTATTTGCGTTTCACTTGTCAGCTCCCTAGAGTTGCTGGTGAGTAGCGACAATGGGGTAGTATGTAGTTAAGGATATGTAACTGATAAAGTGTGCCACTCATTTTGCAGCTATAGCCTGTTTATGTGTTGCGCTACCTGATACGGTTGCCATCGTGAGTAAAGGTCGTACACTGCTGAGTTCCATGATACGGATGAACCTAGGTTACTCCGTATGGATTGCCTCATTTAGTTGAGTTTTTTATTTGCACTAAAACTGGCCTTTTGCGTCCCACCTCATAGGCCTAGACTTCCAGTGGCCGCTCTCTCATTGTAATAGAGTGAACTGGGTCTCCAAAAAAAAACATGTTCGGCGTCCAGATGTGCTATGGTGCTAGAACGGTGAGTGGAGTTAGTGTAGCACTATAACTCAGGATGGACAAATATTACATTTTCTAGTTGTGGAGCTGATGTATAACAAGGCTAGCTAAGATGACAGCGGAACCGTAAGTCTAGCATGCTTATTTTTAAAGTTATCCTTAAGGAAATGGTGGTCCTTAATTGATCCACGCCGACTTTATTAGATGCACTCTGTCATTGTGTCTTCACTACCACTTACATTGCTTGAGGAATATTGAAGTGGTGGGGTTCAATTAAAAAACACTTATAAGTGTATACAATGTTGCCACAGAAACTGCATGACCACATTCATTCTACTGTCCAAGCTAGGGTTCATGGAGAGGATGTCCTTAATCATCTTTGTTACTTCTAGCAAGTTAACCTATGGAATCCTCTTTTGTTTGAGTCACATCCTAAGACTAGATTTTCAGATTCAGCCTTGCCATTGGTGTTGTTTTTTGTGGAAGGATTTGCTTTGATGGTAGTATCTGCAGACTTTGTACCACCTATTGCTTATATCCACCTTAGACCTCTACAACGGGACCTACCTATGTCCGTCCCTTCGGCTTTCTATAATACTGTGTCACTGAAGTGGCAAACGTGGAAAACTAAGAATGAGTCTCCTATTGTCTAAGCAACACAAGGTGACTCTAGGGGGATGTCTTTGAAGTGGATTTCTTAAATTGTTAAATGATCTCTTCAAGCAAAATAACCACTACCTCTACCATACAGAATATTGCAGTACATTCTTTTTTTGTCCTGAACCTAAGAATAATAAATAAGTCTTCATACACAATTTTTTTGTCTTTTAGGCCCACGAGTATTACATTTAATTCTCTGGATGCTTTGTGTATATTCTTTAAATTCTTTAACTAAAGCAAAATAAAATATTAATATTCTACATAAAAGCTACTATGTTTTCAATTTTTACGAACAAAATAGGGTCAGAGAATTGAAATACAAGATCATGAAACTTAAAAAACCTTCCTTTATATTTGCAAAATGTCACCAGACAATACTGTATCAGTATTTCTAGATACTATTGTCTCAAATGCAGAATCACTCATAAAATATTACATAGGGTCCCTTTAAAAAGTATGTATTAGAATTACTATTCTCAGATTACTTTCTGTGAATGGTAGAAGCAGTCAATGCCCCTGTCCCCTTCTCATACTGTTGAGGTTTATCTCTGTCCCTATTGTGGAAGCTTCTCAAGCAGCCTGTTAAATGTTTCTTCTTGGGCACACAGTCCTTGTGAATAGCAGAACATATGCCTCAGCGAGCATAAATTCGAGCAGGAAAAACAGCTCAGTGGACCTATGCACCACCAGTAGAATATGCCCAAACCTTGAGGGCCGCAAATTCAAATCTCCCAGTCCCTCCAAGGCAAACAAAAGCAATACAATTTATCTAACGAGGGATTATGATTAGTTGGGCAGACTCCATATGCCTTTGGAATAAGGATCGGCATTATGGCGGTCATATTATGGGCGAGGTTAGAAACTGCCAAGAATAGATTGCACAGGGATATGTATATAAAAATATATACACGTAAAACTAGGGATCGACCGATATTAATTTTTAGAGCCGATACCGATAATCGGTGAACTTTCAGGCCAATAGCCGATAACTTACCGGTATTCTGTACATTTACCATTTAAAAAAATAAACTATTTTTTCTACACAAATCTACTGTTAACTGAACATGTTTATTTTACTTATTTTGCAAATCTTTTTTTTATTAAGGTAAATGCACAAAATATACATGTCAGTCAGAATTTTCTATGTTTTCAAGAATATGTGTGTGTAGTGGATGCAGTCAGAGTATTTGATTAGTGAATGCAATGTGTGTGTTTGTTTGTGTAGTGGAAGCAGTGTGTATATAATGAATGCAGTGTGATTGTGCACTAAGAGGTCTGATCTGTTTGTTTGGTATATTGATGTTAAATTTCTGTTCAGGTTATCTGCTGAATATTATTTATCAATACATTTTTCTTTAAGGTTCTGGGCTTGTTCTTTAAAATCTACTTTGCGTGAACGGTTCCTTCTGAGACGTAAAAATTGACTCTTGGGTATTCCGTCTAACCATGGTCTGTGGAGGCAGCTTGTTTTATCAATGATAGTGTTGGTACAGACCTTTTTTTTTTTAATTTAAAAAAATTGTATGATTAATGCCATCTTGTATAAAAATTTGTAAGTCTAAAAAGTTAATAAAATTCTTGCTGAATTCTGAAGTTAAAGGGACACTGTAGTCACCTGAACAACTTTAGCTTAATGAAGCAGTTTTGGTGTACAGAACATGCCCCTGCAGCCTCACTGCTCAATCCTCTGCCATTTAAGAGTTAAATCCCTTTATTTATGAACCCTAGTCACACCTCCCTGCATGTAACTTGCACAGCCTTCCATAAACACTTCCTGTAAAGAGAGCCCTATTTAGGCTTTCTTTATTGCAAGTTCTGTTTAATTAAGACTACAGTGTTCCTTTAAAATAATACCATTGTTGTTTATGTTAAGATGGTTTTAAAAAAAGAGTTTAAATAATTTTCTGAACCTTTCCAAACCTAAAATAAAGCATTTTATAATATATTATACATATATAATGCATATATGTGATTTTATTATAAGTGTACTTTGAGGTGTATACACACACGTCAAAATACACTTATGATTAAATTATATATTATTCATATATAGGAAATAGTGTGTGTGTGTGTGTGTGTGTGTAGATGTGTGTGTGTGTATATATGTGTGTGCGTGTGTATGTGTACTTTGAGGTATATACACACATGTCAAAATACACTTATGATTAAATTATATATATATATATATTCATATATAGGAAATAGTGTGTGTGTGTGTGTGTGTATATATATATATATATATATATATATATATACATACATACACACACACACACACACACACACACACACACACACACACACACATATGTGTTCGGGGCATTCTCATATGGTATAGAATAAGATGGGTTGTAGAGATGTAGCTTTAGGAATAATCGGTTGAGGTGTGCCGAAACCGACGTATGCTGTAGGCCAGTAAAAAGTGGGCTTATATAGAGAAAATATGAACAATGGGAGTGGAGGGTGGGGCTATTCGTCTGACCAACAAAGGTAAGTAAGGAAAGGGGGGAGTCCCTTTTATAGGTCCATAGCCCCTCCCACAACTTCAGGCCATGCCTTCCAATTTGTGTTCGGGGCATTCTCATGTGATATGGAATAAGATGGGTTGTAGAGATGTAGCTTTTGGAATAATTGGTTGAAGTGTGCCGAAACCGACGTATGCTGTAGGCCGGTAAAAAGTGGGCAAAAAGAGATATATTAATGCAAAACATTATACAGGATCATAGTGCATTTGTTAACTATCAGGTAGACATTTTAATGAAAGCTTCCTAATTACTGAATCGGCTGTGGTATGTAAGTCGGATAAGCCTATGATTCCCAGAGGCCCCATGTCTTAACATGTGCGGGGATGTCTTGGCTATAGGCCGTGGAGGCTGCTCCTATCCTAAAGGAGTGCCCTGAGTAGTCGCAAGTGTTTAGTTCGAGACTGGTGAATGAGTAGGTGGACATAGTGCATGAACTTACCTGTGGTAAGGACAGTGTCGTGCAGCGACAGTAATGGTTCAGTGGTGCGTATGGTGGCGTGCCCAAGAACATAACCAATACCTTAACCGGGCACCCAGCATTGCTTGTAAGGCAGTAGGTTATATGCACTGGCTCGCCCATCTGGTTTGTCTTAGTTTTAGGAAGGGACTGGACATAGTGGTCTGTGTGTTTTAGAGGATAAGAGGTCAACAGGCACTCTTGTTTATGATGTTGGCCGCTGATAGTGAGTTATTTATTTTGGTCTGAGAAAGCAGTTAAAGGCTAGATAGGTAGCAGTTTTGATAACTGCATTGGTGCCTGTCTCGGAAGGTGCATGGTTGAGTGGTTCTGACATGGTTTGAACATTGTATGTCTATGGCCAGTATTTATATTTAGCGGGAACGTCCGCTTGGCTATGTCTGTAAGTAAGGTATGGATGGTGTAGGAGGATAGGAACCCTTGTTGTTCGAGGAAGGAGAAATACATATAGTTTTGAATGCCCATGAGATAAAGTTTAACCGTGTTGTGCGAGAATTTTTAGCTTAAGGTGGCAAAAAGAGGCGAAGGCCATAAGTGGTGAAACCTCAAACCAGCTATCTAAGTGATGGTCCAACATGAACGTATTGTATAAGTGGAAAACCCTGTAGCAAGCGTGTTAAGTGCTGGTGGACAAGGCCAGTTTAGTCAGAGCCTGGCTATGTTGGCGAGGTCCATGTAATCCATGACCTTGACCATAATTGACCCCCCTGCCATGGCGGCTGTCACGGCAGCTGCCACAATAGTTTACCATTACGTGTGGTTAAGAAAGTCCACCAAATGTGTAGGTCTGCCGTGGCTTGGTTGTCTAGGGACAGCCCCTGATCATCATTGCGGGAGTGTGGAAAAAGCAAAGTGGTCTGAGATGAAAGCGCGGCCTGCGGTATGAGGCGCATGGCAAAATTTAAGGAACCTGGTAGGGATTGTAGTTCCATGCGGTTGCAAGTACCAAGCAGGAGGTGGTAATTGGTGGTGTTGCGACTGTTCCTATTTCTCTCGTGCTAACTTGTTGGCATGGATGCCGAGTCAAGTTGTATGCCCAGGAATGTAACGATAGTGTCTGGGTCTTTTGTGACCTTAGGGAATACTGGGACACCCAAGTGTTCAGACATACTAATGGCTTTCTTGAATCTTCTAGAGGGAAAGGCGTTCCCTTTGACCAACAAGAAATCATCTCGGGAGTGTATGACTGTGGTGCATCTAGATATGTTTAACCATAACCAGCAAAGAGTTCAACGAATATATTGAAGATTGTTGGCTGCTCTTGACCCTAAAGTTAAGCGGGAGAAGAAATATTAACTGCTGCCCATAAATGCCCTGTAAGTGCTAGTGTAGGGTGGATGGTGGCAGTCTGAAATGCGTTTGTGATATCAGTTTTACTTAACCAGGCTTCCCCCCTTGCTTGAGTGATAGCTGTAATGGTATGAACAATGGTGGCATACTGTAATGCAAACTCCTCGGAGGTTATGAGGGAGTTGAGACTTGGGGTAGCCGAGGCATGAGGTGCAGATAAGTCTATGATCAGTTACAGTTTGAGGGAATATTCCCTGTGACATTCCCAATGGGATTGCGCCACGCTGTAAATGGTGTAGATCGGAAAGGCCCAGGTAGAAATCTTTCTGCCATTTCTTGGTCCATGAGTGTAATGCCAGCTGTTGGATGCTGCTGTGATGACTGCAAGTTAGGGCATTCTAGATTTCCCCAAAAGTATATGGCAATACCTGTACGGAGTAGGAAATCAAATAAATGTCTGGAAGGGTGATGAGTTAGAAAGTACTGGAAATGCATAATGTTTACAGACGTGAAGTAAGGTTCAGGGTACATTTATTGGGACACATGGTTTTTGCATGTACCCTGACATATTGAGACCATATCTGCAACAGTCTGCATGCACTGAAACTACATGTGCCAACATGGAAATTGTTGCAAATCTGGGATTTGCCAAAGAGAATGAGACAACCCAATTTCTCTACGTACTACCAGAGGTGCAAGAGCCTTGAGCCTGAAGCGTGATCGTTTGTGTGGGACTAGCAACATCTTCTCCAAGTGAAAGTGTGTTGACTCTAGCTGGAGTGTTAGGTAGAGAGAAATCCTTACCACCTGCTTGATACATACTAAAAAACATGAAGATAGCCATTATTATATGAACCACAGTGTGCTAGTACTGGCCTGCTAGCTAAAGCCGCATGGCGAAACAATTAATACTTTGTTTGGTGACAGGTGAGGCCCTGCTAGTTGCCAAGTGGCTTGAGAGGCTCTATCTAGGCAATGGCGCGAGGGGATTTTTGTGGCCACCAAACGTAGTGGCAGGATGTTGGCCTCTCGGTGACTGTAACCAGAAAAAAGGGGAAAGGAGTGACAGGTGAGGCCCTCTCTATATACCATGCGAGGCGGCTAGCTCACGAGTGGCCTAATGGGTGTTTGCCTCCGAGCTTTGAAGCGGGGTGTTGCAAAAAGACACAAAACACTTTAAAATACATAAAGTCACATTTACACATAACACACAGACATTTCACATATCCCCAGATAGCTGGGATCTGAGTGCACATTATTAGATGAATGGCACTCAGATCACACAAATAAGCCTTTCTGCAGGGGAAATAAACGGTTTAACCTGCAGGGCCATAGTCCAAAGGGAGCAGACGAGCAACCAGGCTTCTCCAGTTCACAGTGGCGAGGTTGGTTTCGCCACACGGGGTGTTGGCCTCGCGGGACCCCTATACGACAGGTGTAAATGCCAAGAAAGGAGAATACCTATTGGTAACCTATAGTCCCTAATTGCCAGTACGCTAAGGATATTGCCAGGGGGAAACAGAAAATGTATGTATACACCACATGAGCAGGTGTATGTACCTGGTAGTATGATTTAGATACCCTTAATGGTCGTAAGGGTTATTAATACCTGTATCCCGGACCCGTAAAACAGGTGTTAACTTGTGTTATGCAAGTTTAATAGAGCAAAGTGCTCCGTCCCAATGTTTATTGTATGCTTGTAATGCCCCTGTTTGAAGGAAATTAACTTGTCGGGAGTGTTATATCATGTGTGCTATGGAATACAACTGTACCCTGAAAAGTGAGTGTAGTGAACCATGACTGGCAGCTGAATAACCAAATATGTGAAAATATGTAATTGGAAGGACTTATATTTTAAGCGTGCAAACATGCAAATATTCTGTATTAGACTCTGGAATCCTGCATAGTGCTTTAAATAGTAAACGTAGGCGTATTGTCAGTAAATGTAACTAAATGCCTATGTAGGCAGGTATGCAGGAATGGTTATATTATAGGAAGCATGAGTTGTAAGGAATAGTGATGTCCTGAACAGCGAACATATGCGGTAAACTTTGACCCTGTACCTCACAGTCAGCAGACACATTCCAGCCAATCAGCAGCAGACCCTCCCTCCCAGACCCTCCCACCTCCTGGACAGCTCACTAAGAATGCAGCTTCACAATCAATGTAAAATGGATGCTGTCCAGGAGGTGGGAGGGTCTGGGAGGGAGGGTCTGATTGGCTTCTGATTTGCTGCTAATGTCCTTCCCCCCTTAGAGACTGAGGAATGAGGTGAATAGGATTTATGATATTTGTAGCTCTGTTAGCTGGTAGAGGGTTATCTCTGGAATTTTTGTATCATTATTTGACTCCAGATTATCCATCCTATTGTTAATCGTTGCTACAAGGGAGGCCATCATGACTTGTAGTTAGGCAAGGTTATTTTGTATATTGAATTCCGTACTAGGGTCATGCCTTTCGTTGTCTTCAGTAATATTTAGTAAACGAAACAGTTTGGCTTTCCTGGCTGTAGCTGGGAAAGGAATATTCCTTTTTTTTACGTTCTGAGGTTATTTTAGGGATAGTCCAGGAACGATAGCTGGAAGCTGGACTTGGTGGATTGGTTCGTCTCTGTGAACCTGATCGGAGTGGGGTGCTGGCGACCGACAGATTATCTTTTTGTGTAGAAGTGTTAGACATGCTATGAAAATGAGGCAGATGGATAAGGTTAGTATGGTACCGTAAAGAACCGTAGTGGCCCAGCTCACTATGATAGTGCCTAATGGCGAAATTGTATTAACTAGCTTATGTTGGTGAGAGGTGAAACCCTGACTACTTGCCAAGTGGCTATGAGAGGCTCTACCTATGATTTGGCTTGTGGGGCCTTTGTGCCACTGAGGTGGGTGGCGGGATGTTGGCCTCTCGGTGATACGTAAAGGAATGTACAACTATTGGCCGTGACGGGTGAGGCCCTAACTATGACTTGATGCAAGGCTATAACTATATATTGGGATGATTGGGC